ATTTTCTCTACGTGGAAAGAAAGATCATCAGGGGCTTTACTTAAATTGTAAATTTCAGGACCCCCGAGCTATCCGTTCTCCCTTGGGGAGGGGGTAAAGTTTACTATAGTTTATATAGGGAAATAACACTTTTGGGTATATATTTTATCCATTTTCAGCAGAAAATTACTCAAACTTAGTCAGAATCATATTTGGTGAACGAGAGTATTACTTAGGAAAATTGGGATTCCTGCCCCATCCCCAGGGGCTAGGGCGGGGCCCCAAAGGGTACATTTACCAATATTTTCTTATCCTTTGATGACATGACAAGTATTGTATTTCACTTAGTTTACATGCTGATTTCCACATCACATCTAAACAATAAAATAAAGCTACCAGTACCTATGATATAACTCAGGTGACCGCTAAGGCCCTTGGGCCTCTTGTTTCATATTTTTAGTTAAAAACTTGCATGTTTTAGGTAAGGAAAATTTCATGTCAAAATTTGAAAGTACCTATTTAGATGATAATGCAGCATGTTAGAAATGGTATCATGATGTTCATAGTTACTAAAGGATTTCTATCGTTATCCTGTCTGTTACAATTATATTGATTTTTCCAGTCCAATAACACCATTAACACACAAACCGTCAAAAATTCAACGGATTAAAAAACGGATTACACGTAGTGACACCTAGATGTAAGTTCGGTGATTTGACGTGGCTCGGATTTATGTAGATACACATTATGCATGACACTGCCATGATATATCCTGTAGCCGGTTGTACACAACACGAACATAGTTTCCTATGATCATTTGTGTGATGCATTTCTGAACGAAAAGAAGATATGCCTGTAATCTTATTCCATATACATTGTATATAATTGAGCGGCAGTCACATTATTTATTAGCTCACCTGGCACAAAGTGCCAAGTGAGCTTATGCCGTGGCGCGGCGTCCATCGTCCGTCCTCGTCCGTCAACTTTTCCTTTAAACAACTTCTTCTGAAGAACGAACAGGCCTAGAGTCATGATATTTGGCTGAAAGCTTCGTTGGTAGGAGCCCTACAAAGTTTGAGAACGAAAATGACCTTGACCTGTTTTCAAGGTCACAGGGGTCAAATATGTCAAAAACTTCAAACGACTTCTTCTAAAGAACTAAAAGGTATAGAATCTTCATATTT